AAATTAACACTCACCGAGTCCAGCACATGCAGACCCCACACCTGCAATACATTTGCTGAAGGATCAAACAGGATTGGGGAGCTAGAGTAATATGGTCAACTGGTCTTCATCCAGGCATGCATCATTCAGTAGCTTAGTATTAAGGGTCAGCAACTGTGAATATGGCTAATTACTTGATGACAGAAATTGCAGGTGAAGACAACCTGCTGCTGAGAAGTGCTTCAGTCAATTAACTCTTTCCTAAGCTTAAGCAAAGTGAAAAACTATCATTTGAACATTAAAACTAACAAGTACCTGTCACCAGAGCTGAGGCAACACCTTGAAATATAGCACCTAAGGGCAAAGCCAGCACAAGTGGAAAAGCTGCTACAGACATTCTAGTCACTTTTGTACGGATTTGGTATTGCTTTGCTTGGCGAACATTATATACCTTGGCAGTCTGTTAATACTATGTGCAATGTGTGCTGGTAAGTGTGGCGTGCACAAACATAAGAGTGTGTGCACGCACGTGCATGCATATACATTATATATATCTATACACACACACACACACAAACACATACAAATTTTGTGCATATGTACCTGTGTTTATGTCCTGGATAAAAATAAATGAACTATGCAATTCAAGTTCGTGTATTTAATGAATTACCAAAAATAGTTATGCATGCGTTTGTGTATATATTTATAAATACCTTCTATATACATGTACATAATAGAATAATAGCATTTAGTCAAGCTATTTGAAGTTAAAAGATGCCAGAACTGCAGTTGCTCATGCCTGGCCTCTCTCTCTATCTGTCCCGTGACGTCCCGGGAACCGCGGGGGATCCTGCAGCCCGTGGGATGGCCGAAGCCGGCGGTGAGCGGCTGCAGCCGCGCGCTCAGCCCAGCAGGCAGGGCCAGGACTGTCAGTATTGCCGAACACAACCCCTGCTGCCCTGACAGCTCCTGTAAGCCTGCTTCTGCTGTCTGGAGAGCGGCACAGTAGCAAATCTTTGTAAAGCAAGCAAGGGAAGGTAAAGAGCGACTCTTAAGCTCAAGATTCACCCTAAATTGAATGCAATATAACAAGAAAGTAAAAGCTACACCTGTAGCTTTGTTTTTTTTTTTCCCCCCGTCAGAGTTTCAAAAATGGAAGTATTAATGCTTCTAAAAGAGATAATCTTTTAAAACAGAAATCTTTATTTAAGTTGACCTTGGGCCCCACCAATACATGAGCAACAGTGGTGCGCGCACGCGCGCCCTGCCCCTTCCCGAGATGGGAAGCCCGTACTGAAAGTACCCACCCGAGCTAATCCCAAGCGAAGGTTATGCCAGTACATTGCTCAGTGCCCAGATCTGTACCTTATTTTGAGCTCAACACATCAGCAACGAAATAACCTTCCTAGGCTCTTGCCAGGAGCGCAGCAGGCGGCACTGCCCTCCCTTCCCTCCCGACCCACCGGCGCTCTCCCGCGCTGCGTCCTCGGGCTTACCCTCCTCTTCCAAAGACAGTAAAGACATTGTCCACGAGCTGAAATGCCCTAAACCAATATAAGCGACAAGAATATTCCAGAAAGTTGCTCACTGACTTTAAGTCTAAAAGATAGGTGATAAAACTTCCCTGTAGGATTCCTTAATAGTATTATAAAATATTAATTTTTTTTCCTAAATGAAGGCTAATTACTTTATTACATTATTTTGTGACTTTTACTATGATTCTTTTATTCTAGCAATGAACACACACATAATTTGCAGCACTCACCCAAAATAATTGCTCTCTACCCTGCAAACCTTAAGTCAGAGACAATTAAAAGCTGTGAAAGCCAAAACATCTTCTTTAACTGCACTAACAACAACTCTCCTGCAGGCCGACAAAGCAAGAGTCCCGGGTGGCTGTAGACAGAAATTTTTAAAGTCTACCCCCCAAGGTTGTAACGCTTGTGCCCTTGCACTACTGCCCGCAGCTACCTCGCGCTTGCACACACTACTTCATTTCTGGTGCCGGCTACAAAACTCCCTTCGCTTTACGGCAACGGGTGCTGAAGAACAGGGCTGCGCGCCCGGCTGAGCGGTGGCAGCGTAAACGTGACGCAGGACTCAAAGCGGGTCCTGCAGCGATGGCGTCAGCCAAAAATATATATTAACAGTGAAGAAAAATGTCAATGTTTCGGAGCTGTTTCTGTTCTGCAGCGTCCAGAACGGACCCTCGTTTTGTTCATGAGAAGAAACAAAGCTCCGAGTAACTACATACTACATTACTGCTGCGAAAAAACCCACAAAGGTATTACAAAAACTCTCCCATTTTCTGTAATAAAAGAAGTCATTGCAAATAGCAAAATCTGGTGACACGGTATTTTTGAGAGAGAGAG